CCCAGTCGTAAAGAGAAACCCTGCACTGCAGTGTTGATAACAGACACGGAAAGGAAAGTACAAAAGCTCCCACAGAAGGTTACGAAGGAAAGCGAGAAGGACTAAACATAAACTTTAAAAAGACAGAATGCATGATTGTCCAAAAAAAAAAAAAAAAAAGATGAGTCCAAAATACAGATTGCAAACCGTGGAAACGAAGATCGAAGAAGTCCAATATTTTAAATATCTGAGAAGTGTTCCAACAGAGGACGGAAAGTGCGACACTGAGATCCGAAAATGTATTGGAATGGCATTCCAAAAACTAAGCAACGTATTAAGAGACGGAAAAAACTACGTTACATACGAATAAAAAAAGTACTGAATTATCACCTGATATCTGCCCTCTTGTATGGTAGTGAATGCTGGACAATCTCCTTAAAGATTGAGAAGAGACTTAAAGCAACAGAAATGTGGGTCTACAAAAAGATGCAGAGAAAAAAAACATGGACTGAACATGTGAGTGAGCAACGACGAGGTTTTAGAGAAAATTGAAATTAAAAGGAAACTTATATTTAACATCAGGAAGAGACAGTTGAAATTTCTACAGAAGGATGCTGAGGATACCATGGACCGAACATGCGAGCAACGAAGAAGTTTTAGAGAAAATGGAAACAAAAAGGAAACTTACACTTAACATCAAGAAGAGACAGTTGAAATTTCTACAGAAGGATGCTGAGCATACCATGGACCGAATATGTGAGCAATGATGAAGTTTTAGAGAAAATGGAAACAAAAAGGAAACTTATACTTAACATCAAGAAGAGACAGTTGAAATTTCTACAGAAGGATGCTGAGGATACCATGGACCGAATATGTGAGCAACGAAGAAGTTTTAGAGAAAATGGAAACAAAAAGGAAACTTATACTTAACATCAAGAAGAGACAGTTGAAATTTCTACAGAAGGATGCTGAGGATAGCATGGACCAAATATGTGAGCAACGAAGAAGTTTTAGAGAAAATGGAAACTTAAAAAAGGAAACTTATACTTAACATCAAGAAGAGACAGGTTTTGAAATTTCTACAGAAGGATGCTGAGGATACCATGAACCGAATATGTGAGCAATGATGAAGTTTTAGAGAAAATGGAAACGAAAAGGAAACTTATACTTAACATCAGGAAGAGACAGTTGAAATTTCTACAGAAGGATGCTTAACATGAGGATAGGATGCTGAGGAACCGAATATGTGAGCAATGATGAAGTTTTAGAGAAAATGGAAACGAAAAGGAAACTTATACTTAACATCAGGAAGAGACAGTTGAAATTTCTACAGAAGGATTGAGGATACATCGAATAGGATGATGAAGTTTTAGAGAAAATAGAAACAAAAGGAAACTTTACTTAACATCAGGAAGAGACATACAGAAGGATGCTGAGGATACCATGAACCGAATATGTGAGCAATGATGAAGTTTTAGAGAAAATGGAAACGAAAAAGGAAACTTATACTTAACATCAGGAAGAGACAGTTGAAATTTCTACAGAAGGATGCTGAGGATACCATGGACCGAATATGTGAGTAACGACAAAGTTTTAGAGAAAATGGAAACAAAAAGGAAACTTATACTTAACATCAGGAAGAGACAGTTGAAATTTCTACTGAAGGATGCTGAGGATACCATGGACCGAATATGTGAGCAACGACAAAGTTTTAGAGAAAATGGAAACAAAAAGGAAACTTATACTTAACACCAGGAAGAAGTAGTTGACATTTCTGGGGCACGTCATGAGGAAGGAGGGCTTGGAAAATCTGATACTCATCGGATAGATTTTGGGGAAATAGGGTCAGAGGAAAACAGAGTGTAACATACTTGATGGACTTGACTAAATGGTTTCTACAACAGGGTTTAGGAGAAGTAACAAAAAGACAAAACTTATTAAGATCTACACAGGACAGGAAGATGTAAAGGGACATCATCACCTACGTTCTGAAGGGACACAACACATTAAAGAAGAAGAAGAAGATTCCTTTTCCCGACTTTTAAGCAGATTTCTAAGCTAGGGGTAGTTTTGATAACCCAAAGTGTCTACAGTTTTATTTTCGTTACTTGCGACTTTGGGGCTTATAGCAAAATCACGTTGAATCACCGATCCTTGTACGATCAGCTCAGTTAAGCAACGTCGACCGTGGCCAGTACCTTCAGTTGCATTTAGAAGTGTGAGGATCGAAGTCAACTCGTGATTTTTGAAACGTCCCAAAAGAGAAGTACCTGGGGAAATGAAGCTTTGAATCTAGCAAGGATGAGGCTGCGTATTCGCCAGCAGAGGCAAATAAATGACTAGAAACGTTTATTTATTTACTGAAATAAAATAAACGCTAAAAACCTTGAACGTTTATATGTAGACCTGAATGTTCGCTCGAATGATATACCCGCGTATGACGACAAACTACATCCGGCAGCTGATCGGGAGATTGGAGGTTTTGAGGAGCGTGGAACCACCTTTTAATTCCCGTTGTTGTTCCCAGGTCTACCCTGACATGGGGTGGTTAGGGTCCCAGCTATGGGAACCTCCAAACACTATGAAAGTATAAAAATACATTTTTTATAGTAGAAATATCAGCAATACATTTTTATATAAAAAGGACCAACAATACATAGTTATAGCAAAATTACCAGCAATACGTTTTATCTGTAGTTGAAGGCGCACAGTTGCTTTTAAATTATTTAGATTTTGGCATTAAATAACGCATAGAGGTTGATAAGCCGTAAAACAAAATCAACCAACCTGTAGTATCATATGCAAATGAGAATGGCACCATAAATATCGAGCAGAGGGTGAACAAAGGGCAATCGTTTAGTGAACCCGTTTGCTAAACGTAACTTGGAGAATTGTGCTATGATTGATAATAGTCAGAGAGAAATAGACAACATAACAATACTTAATCATATGTTTATGTATGAGAGAGTATGTCTTTCAGCTAATCTCTCCTAATCCCTGTTCTACCAACCATTTAACAAACCCGTTACGTAGGTTATGTGCTGCTTTAATCTTTCAACTTTTTCCAGGGTTGAAAGCCTATAATAAGATATGTTCTTTTCCTATGTACCGTGTTCCTTTAAGGACGATGACGATTATGTCTCTCCCCAATTTCATCACCTTTGTAGCTATCAATAACTTTTATCTATTTTTTTTATATCCTATAATTAAAAAATTCAAGTTTTAGTATAATATTATCACTGATGACAGTGTAATTAAAACATGTCGCTGCATGTAATTTATTTCTAATTTATTCATCTAAAAATAAAAATATTCCTCCCTTAAAGAAAATTTTTTTATGAACGTTTCCTGTTTCAAAAGCAAAAAATGTTTACGCGTATGATCTTCCTTAGTGAAAAATCGACAATGGTTTAAAATGTTAACAACGTTAGTTTTATTGAAAGTTTACAAAATTCAAGAAACATTTTACTTGTAGTATCATATGCAAATGAGAATGACAACATAAATATCGAGCAGAGAGTGAACAAAGGGCAATCGTCAGTGAACCCGTTTGCTAAACGTAACGTGGAGAACTGTGCTATGATTAATACTACCCAGAGAGAAACAAACAACATAACACAACCAAACAATTGGCATGAAAGAACTATTTCATGATATTAATTCATATAATATCCGGCTATTTCTTAGATCAAAATATATTTCAAAATATAACTTTTACAAAACTACAACATAAAACATGCATATCACTGCCTCTAATAATTGTCCAATAGAAACATGTATATGAACTAAAACTGATTTTGGTTTGGTTTGGTTCGTTTTACGGCATATCAACCTCAATGGGTTATTTAATGCCGACAAGATTTTTATTACTGGTTTGGTTTGGTTTGTTTTACGGCATATCAACCTCAATGGGTTATTTAATGCCGACAAGATTTTTATTGCTGGTTTGGTTTGGTTTGTTTTACGGCATATCAACCTCAATGGGTTATTTAATGCCGACAAGATTTTTATTGCTGGTTTGGTTTGGTTTGTTTTACGGCATATCAACCTCAATGGGTTATTTAATGCCGACAAGATTTTTATTGCTGGTTTGGTTTGGTTTGTTTTACGGCATATCAACCTCAATGGGTTATTTAATGCCGACAAGATTTTTATTGCTGGTTTGGTTTGGTTTGTTTTACGGCATATCAACCTCAATGGGTTATTTAATGCCGACAAGATTTTTTATTGCTGGTTTCGTTTGGTTTGTTTTACGGCATATCAACCTCAATGGGTTATTTAATGCCGACAAGATTTTTATTGCTGGTTTGGTTTGGTTTGTTTTACGGCATATCAACCTCAATGGGTTATTTAATTCCGACAAGATTTTTATTGCTGGTTTGGTTTGTTTTACGGCATATCAACCTCAATGGGTTATTTAATGCCGACAAGATTTTTATTGCTGGTAATATGTTTTTCTTCAAAAATCTATTTCTGGAAATATCTTTCCTTGAAGAAATCTATAGCTGGTAATATTTTTTTTCAAAGAATGTATAGCAGTGTGTATTGCTGGTACTTTTTTCTTTAAAGTATTGCTGATAATAATTTTTTCTTCAAAAATTATTGCTGGTAATATTTTTTTTATTACAAAATATTTCTGGTATTAAAACCTATTCTTACACAAGTTTGGGTGTCAACTATTTGCCCATAGCTATGACCCTAACAGGTGCTACCACCCCAGGTCAGGATGGACCTGGGAACGCCAGCAATTAAGAGGTGGTTCCATGCTCCTCAAAACCTTTGATCCGAGGCCTTGCTGTTGGACGTAGTTTATCGTCTTACCCAGGACACGGATGTAGTTCATCGTCTTACCCAGGACGGGAACTAAACCTGAGTATCATCTACTGTGTCTGCAGAGTAGCATAATATAATATTTTTATTACTTCAAATCTCACAAGAAAATTAAATTTCGGCATTAAATGACCCATAAGCTGTTTATGTGCCATTAAACAAGTAAATCAATGAATGAATCGCTCGCTCGAATGGATATGCTTAATATGTCAGAACCCTTGTCAAATACCGAGATATGTGAAAACATTTAACGGGTTACAAAGTTCTATCCTCAGATAGAATAGATTTATCGATATAAAAAAAAAAGAAGAGGTTGGAATCCTGATTTTAAATTAGTTAAAATTTGCAGAGCGTTTTATGTTTATATATATATATATATATATATATATATATATATATATATATATATATATATATATATATATACAGATTCCGTTCGCCTTGTATTTGTTGTGTTCAGGATGGGAGCAACTGCGTTTTCGTGTGAGTCTGCCCAGTCTACCATGTCGCGGCAGATGATGATTGTGAGGTTGATTAACATTGACGCAGAAGCAGATAATGAAATATTTTACAAACACACACACATATATATAATATAATAGTTATATATATATATATATATATAATATAAAATTTGAATTAGAACAGGAAACAGTAGTAGTAAAATATCGTCTGATCTTTTAATTTTCTAGCGGAAACGGCTGAGCTCCTTATTATCTATCTATCTATCTATCTATCTATCTATCTATCTATCTATCTCTATCTCTCTCTCTCTCTCTCTCTCTCTCTCTCTCTCTCTATATATATATATATATATATATATATATATATATTCAGGTTTAATGAGAACAAATGGAGTATAATTCCATTGTACGTAACATTTAATTTAAAAAAAAGGCACAATACAGTGTAGAGCTAAATATTATTTATTTTAGGATATTAAAACAAAAACATATTAAAACATTGTGTAGCGATTTTATCATGTTTTTTTTTATAATATCCTAAAATAATATATATATATATATATTATCATATCATGTTTTTTTATAATATCCTAAAAAATATATATATATATATATATATATATATATATATATATATATATGTATGTATGTATATAGTCGGTCCAGTCATAGTAAAAACAACATAGATAATAATATTGATAGTAAGACTAATAATATTTTTTGTATTTTAGTAGGCCTTTTGACTAAATGGAAGCGTGATGAAAAAAGATGTGAAATATCGGAATTTCCTGATACACCAGTGTTCTTTTTCAACGAGAAATAAAAAATGAAGTGGGACTTTTTTTAGGATATAATTTTTTTTAGCTTTCGTTACATTACTAAGGAGAACTAGTACTTTGGGCTAAGTGTCTACCACGATTAGGTTTGTTGATGCTTTGTAGAAAGCTTTTGTGGATACTGTATTCACTGAGTAAATCCTAAATTCCTATTTAAACTTAAAATATGTGAATTTATTTTAAAAATGTATTTTATATCGGAATTTCGGCGTTCTTGTTGGCAATTTTTAATACAGTGTAACCCGGATATAAGAGACCCAGATATAAGAGACCCAGATATATGAGAAACCCAGATATAAGAGAGATTTTCTCTGGTCCCAAATTAGAGCCTGTGTTAATGTATATAAAATAGACCAAACCCGGATATAAGAGAAACCCGGGTATAAGAGAGACTTTCTCTGGTCCCAAATTAGAGCCTGTGTTAATGTATATAAAATAGACCGAACCCGGATATAAGAGAAACCCGGGTATAAGAGAGATTTTCTCTGGTCCCAAATTAGAGCCTGTGTTAATGTATATAAAATAGACCAAAACCGGATATAAGAGAAACCCGGGTATAAGAGAGACTTTCTCTGGTCCCAAATTAGAGCCTGTGTTTAATGTATATAAAATAGACCAAAACCGGATATAAGAGAAACCCGGGTATAAGAGAGATTTTCTCTGGTCCCAAATTAGAGCCTGTGTTAATGTATATAAAATAGACCAAAACCGGATATAAGAGAAACCCGGGTATAAGAGAGATTTTCTCTGGTCCCAAATTAGAGCCTGTGTTAATGTATATAAAATAGACCAAAACCGGATATAAGAGAAACCCGGATATAAGAGACTTCTTCTCCGGTCCCGACAACTCTCTTATATCCGGTTGGTTAAAATGTTCAGGTACAGATACGTTACTATCAAATATATACAGTGTCTGCCAAAGAAAAGGAAGGTAAAATTCAGGAAAGAAAAATCTTTTATAGATATTATAATACTAAAATCAGAAATCACGAGATTAATACAAATTACCTTTGATTCTACATTCACATGAGGTACTTAAAATGGTGGCTTTTAGCTTCCAGACATTTATAAGAACGGCGAACTACTGCTTGGGCAACGTTGGCCAAATTGTTCAGAGAGAGAGAGAGAGAGTTCTGCGCATTGATTTTTCAATTTCTTGTCAAAGGCCCGCCAATGTCGTCAGTTTTCTGCGATGTGCAACATAATTTAGGGTACTTAAGGTAAAAGTCTGCAGGTGTTAAATGAGGAGAGGGGTGAAACGTGGGGGTAGGGGAACTCGACTGCACCCCGGCGTCCTTGCAAATTCTGTTGTTGAAGTTTTTAAAAATGTGATTATTTATATTACCTTAATTTGAGATTAATATTTTAAAATACCTTTTAAATAATAGGTTTTGAACTTAACCGATTTTTTATGTTGGCTTTGGAAAGGAGTATATCTTTTAGGAAAGGAGATATTTGAAAAAAGAAAATGAGCCGCAGATTTATATTTTGGTAATTTCATAGAGACGCCCTCAAGAATTTTCCGTCTAAGCAGCTTAATTCCTCGTTTATTAAGTGAGGCATTTTTTACATCGAAGTTGTTGTTAAACTTCTTTCTGCATTAGATAAATTGTTGTCTATAAGATTCTTTATAATTATGTACACACACACACACACACACACACACACACACACACACACACACACACACACACACACACACACACACACACACAAGCGGCTAGGAATTATTCGAGATAACACTAGACATTGTCTTCTTCTTGTGGCAACTGAGAGAAGCCAGATAAGCAATACTGTTTCTAGTTGGAAGACTCGAACTACGAGTCTGCACGAAATGATTCTATAAATGATACCGTCTTCTCGATGAGGCTAATGTGAGGCTAATTAACACTGAATGAAAGCAGATAAAGAAACCCTATATATTTGGTGGTGACCAGCAGAGACGTATAAAATCTGAATTATCCTAGATAAGACTAGATTCTGTCTTCTAGTCTTGTCAGTTGAACTGGGGTGGGGGTCTCGATGAAGTAACACTAAAGAAATATATATATATATATATATATATATATATATATATATATATGTGTGTGTGTGTGTGTGTGTGTGTATATATATATTGATAATATTAGTGGCTAATATGCGCATACATATATGTACATATATCTAAAACACACACACACACATATATATATATATATATATATATATATACATACATATACACACACACACACACACACACACACACACATATATATATATATATATATATATATGTAAAAATTCCAAGAGGATAGAATCCAGGTAGATCTCAATGTCCAGGACAGAGTAAGGATATAATAAAAGGCTTAAACACTAGCACTCCATGGAATACTAGTGTTTAAGCCTTTTATATATATATATATATATATATATATATATATATATATATATATATATATATATATATATATATGTGTGTGTGTGTGTGTTTACGCAAAATCAAGTGAGACAGAAAAGAAAATGGAAAGAGATAGAATACAGAAATGTAAATTCATCCAGCCAGCAATAAGATTTAATTTTAGAGTTTTGCGCACCAGGAAAACGACATTATAATTGTAACATAAAGATATCCACATAAACATGGGCTGACAAAATTTCTTTTCCCTACATGCAATGTTTTTAGTAAAAGCGGATAAGACATTTGTGATCAAAACAACAACGATGAGGATAATAGTTTGAATAATTCATGCATTTTTATAGTAACTCACATGCAATCCATTTCCCTTGTAAGCTATTTGCAATGCATTCCTATAGTAAGATATTTGTGATCAAAACAACAAAGATGAGGATACTAGTCTGAATAATTCATGAAATAATGCATTTTTATAGTAACTCATTTGCAATCCATTTCCCTTGTAAGCTATTTGTAATGCATTCCTATAGTAAGACATTTGTGATCAAAACAACAAAGATGAGGATACTAGTCTGAATAATTCATGAAATAATGCATTTTTATAGTAACTCATTTGCAATCCATTTCCCTTGTAAGCTATTTGCAATGCATTCCGATAGTAAGACATTTGTGATCAAAACAACAAAGATGAAGATACTAGTCTGAATAATTCATGAAATAATGCATTTTTATAGTCACTCACATGCAATCCATTTCCCTTGTAAGCTTTTTGCAATACATTCCTATAGTAAGATATTTGTGATCAAAACAACAAAGATGAGGATACTAGTCTGAATAATTCATGAAATAATGCATTTTTATAGTAACTCATTTGTAATCCATTTCCCTTGTAAGCTATTTGTAATGCATTCCTATAGTAAGACATTTGTGATCAAAACAACAAAGATGAGGATACTAGTCTGAATAATTCATGAAATAATGCATTTTTATAGTAACTCATTTGCAATCCATTTCCCTTGTAAGCTATTTGCAATGCATTCCGATAGTAAGACATTTGTGATCAAAACAACAAAGATGAAGATACTAGTCTGAATAATTCATGAAATAATGCATTTTTATAGTAACTCACATGCAATCCATTTCCCTTGTAAGCTTTTTGCAATACATTCCTATAGTAAGATATTTGTGATCAAAACAACAAAGATGAGGATACTAGTCTGAACAATTCATGAAATAATGCATTTTATAGTAACTCATTTGCAATCCATTTCCTTGTAAGCTATTTGTAATGCATTCCTATAGTAAGACATTTGTGATCAAAACAACAAAGATGAGGATACTAGTCTGAATAATTCATGAAATAATGCATTTTTATAGTAACTCATTTGCAATCCATTTCCCTTGTAAGCTATTTGCAATGCATTCCGATAGTAAGACATTTGTGATCAAAACAACAAAGATGAATATACTAGTCTGAATAATTCATGAAATAATGCATTTTTATAGTAACTCATTTGCAATCCATTTCCCTTGTAAGCTATTTGCAATGCATTCCTATAGTAAGACATTTGTGATCAAAACAACAAAGATCAAGATACTAGTCTGAATAATTCATGAAATAATGCATTTTTATAGTAACTCATTTGCAATCCATTTCCCTTGTAAGCTATTTGCAATGCATTCCTATAGTAAGACATTTGTGATCAAAACAACAAATATGAAGATACTAGTCTGAATAATTCATGAAATAATGCATTTTTTATAGTAACTCATGCAATCCAATCTATTTCCCTTTTTGTAAGCTATTTTGCAATGCAATTTTCTATAGTAAGACATTTGTGATCAAAACAACAAAGATGAGGATACTAGTCTGAATAATTCATGAAATAATGCATTTTTATAGTAACTCATATGCAATCTATTTCCCTTGTAAGCTATTTGCAATGCATTCCTATAGTAAGACATTTGTGATCAAAACAAAGATGAAGATACTAGTCTGAATAATTCATGAAATAATGCATTTTTATAGTAACTAATTGGTAATCCTTTTTCCATGTAAGCTTTTTTCAATGCCATTTGTTTGCCTATCACCTCAGATAAAATTACTTTTCCCATCGCGCCTCTTTCTCTTCATTTTCAAAC